ACACACACACACACACACACACACACACACACACACACACACACACACACACACACACACACACACACACACACACGCGCATGTTACAGGGGGTACGTGGGAAAATTTCCCAGGTGTGTAAAAAAATAAATAAATAAAATAAATAAAAAGTAATAAATTATGTACTTCTTGTATGTGTCATTTGCCCAGGTGTTTGGCACAGATGGAAGAGGAAGGCCTGTCTATAGATGATCTGTTCAGCCAGTGTGTGCTTCAGCAAAATGAGAGAGACTTGCTGCTTAAGGCCATTCGCCTCGTAAAGAGTGACTACCAACCCAGCCTCAGCCTGCAGACAAATCAGTGTGATTCACCACTGGTTCGGGATTTCTACACACAGGTATGGTATGGTGACTATGGTGTGACTATTTTAGGAGCTATGTTGTGTCCTGCTCAGCTGATGCCATCATAACATTAATGTGTTGTCAATTCATCTGTTGTTCTTCACTGACTTTACTTCTTAAAATGAATGAATGAATYTCAGTGAGTGTTTCAGGCTTATGTATGATATGAAATGCCTTCAATGACACTTTGGTACTTAAATTAAATAAATCATAATTTTTTTATTATTATTTTTTTTTTACAAATTAAAATGTGAGAAAGTGAAGTAGTTAATTTAGATGCAGASTGTTAGCTTACGGGGTTATGATTAATTTTAATGGGGACCGCCTCACATGTTTTGCCAGTCGTGTCACCAGAGAGCAGAGAGAGGGCTGTCACAAGGCTCCAGTGTGACTACAAAGATTTGATTGTCACCCCTTAACAACCAGAAAAAGCACTGGGCTATTTATAGTCAACCAACCCTGCTTTCTAATGGCTCTCTGCTTGTGTTGCCTTGTTTCCTCTCACTTCTCCTTTTTTTTTCCATCTCCCGTCTTCACATCATTCATTAACAGCTTTTCAAACAGTTGTAGTATTTTTAGCCCCTGTCCATACACCATTTACACTCTTGTCTTTTTATCGGAGTTATGTCATATTTTTGGTCTGTGTGTAAGATTACTGTTATCATCAGGTGAAGTATACTGTATTTTTATCCTAAGGCACACAGTAAGTACACAGTCTTTCAAGTTGAAAAATGACTCAACATATACTATCATTATTTATTTAACTAAAACTATAGACAACATGTCGAAACAGTGCAAAATCTTTTCTGAATTTCCCTTGAGACCAATAAAGCTTCTGTTTAATTGAATCTGGCTTTTAAAAGCACCTTTAGCTGCAATTTCTTCAACTAATTGTGTTCTAAATGACCTTTTCAGTCTTTCACATAGCAGAGAATACTGACACAAAATTCTTTACAAAATTGCTCTAGTCCAGGGCTATTCAACTGGTGGCCCACGGGCCACATTCGGCCCGCGAGTCACCAAAGTTCGGCCCACCATTTGGTTCGTTCATCTCTTAAGCCCAAACCCCCGGTTTTTTCTATAATAATTTCTCTAAGTTATTTTAGTTAAACATAAACATGTTTGGTATCTACAGAAACGTCAGAATCTTGGCTACAAGCTGGTAAAACCCATTTCTAAAAAGACAGTTAAAATTACAAGCAGTTGAAGATAAAATGATGAAAGTGAAAATAAAATTAGTTTAAAAATTTGGCAAATCAGAGATGTCAAAATATTTGTGTCTAATAATAGGAGGCATAATGTGTTCTTTTTGTTTTTGATAATGTTTAATTATCACTACTTTTATAGGGTTCTGTATGTTGTATTCATGATTAAAGTAAGCAAAATAAAC